GAGGACTAGACCTGAGACTAGACTGAGACTAGACTGAGACTAGACTGAGACTAGACTAGACTAGACCGGAGACTAGACCGGAGAGACCAGACTGAGACCAGGACCAGACCAGGACAGGACTAGACTGGACCTTAGACTGGACCGGAGACTAGAGAGGTCCTGCCCATCACCCGGAACCAAGGTCTGGACCTGGACTAGACCGGAGACTAGACCGGAGACTAGACCGGAGACTAGACCGGAGACTAGACCGGAGACTGGAACAGGGACTGGGCCGGGGACTACACCAGGGACTACAGAGACTAGGCCAGGGACTGGACCTGAGACTAGACCTGAGACTAGACCTGAGACTAGACCTGAGACTAGACCTGAGACTAGACCTGAGACTAGACCAGGACTGGACCAAGTTCTCAACCGGGACTGAACCAGGGATTGAGCCAAGACTGAACCAAGACTAAACAAGAGGCTAGACCAGAAACTAGACCAGAAACTAGACCAGAAACTAGACCAGGGACTAGACCAGAGACTAAACTACGACAAAAAAAACCCCAAAACTCGCTTGTTTCCATGGAGATGTTATCGTTTCGCCTGGAATGTTCCGCAATTTGGCATTAAACTTGCGAATATTTTTCAAGGTTTTTATTTGGGCGATTAAAGTAAACCTGCCGTCCAATAAATGAAAACCGGTTAAATTTAATGCCGTACTACGGAACATTCCAGACGAAATCATCTCATAACATCTCCATGGCGACCGGCGAGGGGCCTCACGCAGGAAAGTCTCTCAGTGCGGCTTTAAAGGTGCGTCGCGTGACTTTTTTTTAAACGCTTTTCTCCATGGACATGTTCTGGAATGTTCCGCAGTACGGCGTTAAACCTTTCTATCTCCACGGAGACCAAACCAGAGTTCCAGGTCAGATCTGTGGAGAGGCGACCCCGCTCAGTCAGAATAAATGTTTTTTCAGTGGTTTTTTGAGCGATAAAACCAGCTGTGACTGAATAAACGTAGAGTAGAGCCGTTTAATGTCACACTGCGGAACATTCCGGGCCGAGCATCGTCGTATCCGTGGAAACGCAGAAAGGAGTCCGTTTAAAAAAAAAAAAAAAAAAAACAGGTGTACCTAATAATGTGTCCGACGCGCGTTCTCTTCCCGCCGCCGTAAACCTGAACCTTCAAAGACAAAGCGTTTCTTAGCAACAGTCTCCAGGCCTCACACCTCGGCGCAGCTCAGCGGGGGGCGCGGTAAAAATAGAGAGCGGCAGTATGAGACGTCAACATGCTAACGACACGAGAAGAACACGCAAAAAGTGCACACGCTAACAAGAACGAGAGAGAAAGAAAGAGAAGAGGAAGAACGAGCGCCGCTGAAAACATAAAGTCATAAATATGGAAAATTAAACCTGGTGACGAGACTGGACCAGAGACTGGACCTGGACTAGACCTGGGACTGGACAGGGACTGGACCAGAGACTGGACCAGGGACTGGACCAGGGACTGGACCTGGGACTGGACCAGAGACTGGACCAGGGACTGGACCAGGGACTAGACCAGGGACTGGACCAGGGACTAGACCAGGGACTAGACCAGAGACTGGACCAGGGACTAGACCAGGGACTAGACCAGACACTGGACCAGGGACTGGACCAGAGACTGGACCAGGGACTAGACCAGGGACTAGACCAGGGACTGGACCAGGGACTAGACCAGAGACTGGACCAGAGACTGGACCAGGGACTGGACCTGGGACTAGACCAGAGACTGGACTGGACCAGGGACTAGACCAGAGACTGGACCAGAGACTGGACTGGGACTAGACCAGGGACTGGACCTGGGACTAGACCAGAGACTGGACCAGGACTGGACCTGGAGACCAGGGACTGAGGGACTGGACCAGAGACTGGACCTGGGACTAGACCAGGGACTAGACCAGGGACTAGACCAGAGACTAGACCTGGGACTAGACCAGGGACTGACCAGAGACTAGACCAGAGACTAGATAGACCAGGGACTAGACTGGAGACTGGACCAGGGACTAGACCAACTAGACCTTGACCAAGACTAAGACTAGATCGAGCACTAGACCAGAGACTAGACCAGAGACTAGACCAGAGACTAGACTGGGGACTGGAGAGGTCCTGCCCATCATCCGGAACCAAGGTCAGTCTGGACCAGGGACTAGACCGAGATCGAGAGAACGAGAGCTGCTGAAAACATAAAGTCATAAATATGGAACAGTTAGAACATTAAACCTGACACACGAGGGAGGGCATCTGACACACGAGGGAGGGCATCTGACACACGAGGGAGGGCATCTGACACACGAGGGAGGGCATCTGACACTTTTTAACAAGTTTAAATAAAGATAATCTGAGGTTTTTGTATAATTGTTTTTCTGATGTTTCCAGGAGACAAACGAGTGGTGAAGCTTTACCTCAAATCCAAAGAAACGGGAAAGAAGTTCGCCAGCGTGGACTTCGTCTTCTACAACTGCACCGTGCACCAGTCGTGAGTCTGATACTGATACTGATACTGATACTACTACTACTACTATTACTACTACTACTATTACTACTACTACTTTACTTGTCCAGAACCACACGTTTTCTCCGACACAATGCTCTGTTTGTGACAAAAACAAAATGGCTGCTGACGCTTAAAAAGGCTGAAAAATCTACGTAAAAAACTGAGAAACAAACAGTGTTTTTGCAGAATTAACAATCGAAGCTCTAAACTATTAGACTGATTCATGAGATGGTTTCACTTGGTGGAAATCGTCTGACTTCGCAGCATTAGGATTCGTTTGCTGGACGGTTGGCGGGTACTTTTTTATTTAACCAGTCGCTCCATCTCGACGCTTTATTTAGTTTTTTACTCTTGTGCTGTGGACCAGACGGACGCTCCAGTTCGACGTCCTGGCTTCACAGCTCAGAGCTGATGGGCCAGTGTGCGGTTTACAACTTCTGGGGTTCTTACAAACCGTTTAGTGCAAACATGTCCGAACAATTTTTTCTTGGCCCTCCAGGCTGCCAGGGCGAAGCACTTGATTTAGCGTCAGTCGCTGTTCCTCCCCTCACCTCTGGTCATGAGCTCTGGGTACCGACCAAAAGGATGAGGTCTTGGATACAAGCGACACAAATGAGTTTCCTCTGATTCCTCCTGGACGTCTCCCTCAGGAGGTGTTCATGTCCCACCTGGAGGAGGCCCCGGGGAAAGACCCAGGACACACTGGAGGGACTATGTCTCTGGACTGGGAACACCTCGGGGTCCCCCTGGTGGAGCTGGAGGAAGTGTCCGGGGTGAGGGAAGTCTGGGAGTCCCTGCTTAGACTTATGCCCCCGAGACCCGAGACCCGAGCCCGGATAAGCGGAAGAAAATAGATGGATGGACCTTGCATCATTTAAAAAATAACTTTTTACTGCCAATGTTTTTGAAAATCTACTTTGATGAAGTTCATATTTAATATTTAGTGTTTGGTTTAAGGATTTTAGTGTGAATTAAAACTGTTTTCACTGTGTTGAGCTCCAGTCTACAGCCTCGACCAGTGTCTGCTTCATCTGTGTTTAGAAATGTGGCCCTTGATGAAAAAAGTCTGGACAATGATTCTTGACCGAGTCTCTGGAGAGAAATGAAACTGAGCGGAGGCACTGAGTGACACCAGCCTGGTCCTCATCATACAGTGAAGGGAATAAATATACTGTATATAAATATAATGGAATGAAATATTAAAAAAAAGATAATAAATTAAAGCAGTTGGCAAATACAAAATGTAATATTTCTGTAGAAAAGAACTTAAAGTTACAGTCTGTTGCTTTTCAGAGGAGACGATGTTACTTTGGTTTAGTTTGTATTTAACGGCCAAATTATATCATTTCTCAGCTTTTTTTTATCAGTTAATGTCTTAATGTTTGTAAAATATTACTGTATTTAGTTCTGAAAGTGGTTCTGATTTGTTTTATTATTTGCCCAAGTGACAGAGAAGGTCACGCTCCCGGAGGATGATCCAGTGTCCTTTTTTTTTTTTTTTTTTTTTTTTTTCATGAACGTGGTTTTGTAGGTGTGTCCAGAGTTTCTTGCTTTTATGAGCAGTGATATAAAAGGTGAACGATAGAGAACGAGGAAGAGTCTGAGAAGAGAACAGTAGTAGAACAGTAGTGGTGTGAGGTCTGATCCCTGTGGAGCACCAGTGTTGATTGTGTCGTTGTTGTTCTGGACGTTTCCTCTCGCTCGTGTTTTCGTTGTTTTATTCTCAGGTCTCGTTGCTCGTGTTTTATTTTCTGTTTTTCTCGCTCGTGTTTTCGTTGTTTTCGTTCTCGTGTTTTCGTTCTCGTGTTTTCGTTGTTTTCATTCTTGTGTCTCATCTCGTGTTTTTGTTGTTTTATTTTCGTGTCTCGTTTGTGTTTTCGTTGTTTTATTTTCTGTTCTGTCGTCGTGTTTTTCGTTGTTTTTTCGTTCTCGTGTTTTCGTTGTTTTCGTTCTCGTGTTTTCGTTGTTTTCGTTCTTGTGTTTCGTGTTTTCGTTGTTTTCGTTCTCGTGTTCGTTTTTTCGTTGTGTTTCGTGTTCGTTTCGTTTGTTGTTTTCGTTGTTTTCGTTGTTTTGTCGTTTTTCGTTTTTTCGTTCTTGTGTTTTTGTTGTTTTCGTTCTCGTGTTTTTGTTGTTTTCGTGTCTTGTTTTCGTTCTCGTGTTTTCGTTGTTTTCGTTGTTTTCTCTGTTTTCGTTCTTTGTTTTGTTTTTTCCGTTGTTTTCGTTGTTTTCGTTCTCGTGTTTTTCGTTGTTTTAATTTCGTGTCTAGTCGCTTGTGTTTTCGTTGTTTTATTTTCTGTTCTTCTCGCTCGTGTTTTCGTTTTCGTTTCGTGTTTCGTTGTTTTCGTTCTTGTTTTTCGTTGTTTTCGTTCTCGTGTTTTCGTTGTTTTCGTTCTCGTGTCTCGTCTCATGTTTTCGTTCTTGTGTTTTTGTTGTTTTCGTTCTCGTGTTTTCGTTCGTGTTTCGTTGTTTTATTTTCGTGTCTAGTCGCTTGTGTTTTCGTTGTTTTATTTTCTGTTCTTCTCGCTCGTGTTTTCCTTGTTTTTCGTTCTTTTTCGTGTCGTCTCGTGTTTTCGTTGTTTTCGTTCTCGTGTTTTCGTTGTTTTCGTTCTCGTGTTTTTCGTTGTTTTATTTCGTTTCTAGTCGTTGTGTTTTCGTCGTTCTTGTGTTTTTCGTTGTTTTCGTTCTCGTGTTTTCGTTCTCGTTGTTGTTTTCGTTGTTTTCGTTCTCGTGTTTTCGTTCTCGTGTTTTCGTTGTTTTCGTTCTTTGTTCTCGTGTTTTTCGTTGTTTCGTTGTGTTTCGTTGTTTTATTTTCTGTTCTTTTCGCTCGTGTTTTCGTTGTTTTCGTTCTCGTGTTTTCGTTGTGTTCGTCTCGTGTTTTCGTTGTTTTCGTTCTCGTGTGTTTTCGTTCTCGTGTTTTCGTTGTTTTCGTTCTCGTGTTCGTTCGTTTTCGTTGTTTTCGTGTGTTTTCGTTGTTTTCGTTCTTGTGTTTTCGTTGTTTTCGTTCTTGTGTTTTCGTTGTTTTCGTTCTCGTGTTTTCGTTTCGTTTTCGTTGTTTTCGTTGTTTTCGTTCTCGTGTTTTCGTTGTTTTCGTTCTCGTGTTTTCGTCGTTCTCGTGTCTCGTCCCGTGTTCCGCCGTGACCCTCTTAAGCCCCCCGCTCCGTCTCTCAGATGTCAACGGTTCAGTAAAGTCTCGCCTGATTGGCCGAGGTCGCGCACCAAAGCCTCTGTCGCTAATGCTAATCTGTGTGAGTTTTAACCGTCTGCACCTCCCGCCGCGTCCAAGAGAACGACTCAAACCCCCGACACGGAAAAACCCCCGACACGGAAAAACCCCCGACACGGACCCCCGCTGGGCCCACTCCTCCACTCATCCCCCTCTCATCCCCCTCTCCCTCTGTCCATCCTCTTCTTCTCTCATCCATCTCCTCGTCTTGTCTCTTCTCTGCTTCTCTTCCTCCTCTCGTTTTCTCTGCTTCACCTCTTCTCTCCTCGTCTCCTCCTCTTCTCCTCTCATCATCCATCTCCTCCTCTTTTCATCTCTCCTCCCTCTCGTTCTCTGTTCCTTCTCTCCTCCCTCATCCTCGTCTCCATCCTCTCCTCCTTTTCCTCCTCCTTCTCTCTTCCTCTCATCCTTGTCTCCATCCTCTCCTCTTTCTCTCCTCCCTCCCTCCATCCTCTCCTCCTTCCTTGATCTCTCCTCTCATCCTCTCCTTCTCTGCTCGTCTCCATCCTCTCTCCATCCTCTCCTCCTTCTCTCCTCCTCCTCATCCTTGTCTCCCCCTCTCCTCCTCTCTCCCTCTTCTCCTCTCATCATCCATCTTCTCTCCTCCTTCTCCATGTTTCTCGTCTCCTCCTCTCATCCTCCTCCTCTCTTCCTTTTCTCCCCTTTCTCATCATCTCCTCCTCCTCTCCCCATGCATCTCCTCCTCTCCTCCTCCTCCTTTCTCGTCTCCTCCTCCTCCTCGCTTCTCGTCTCCTTCTCTCTCTCTCTCTCCTCGTTCTCTCCTCTTCTCTCGTCTCCTTCTCTCTTCTCGTTCCTCGTCTCCTCTCTCTCATTTCTCGTCTCCTTCTCTCCTCCTCGTTTCTCTCTCTCCTTCCCTCCTCTCCTCATTTCTTGTCTCCTTCTATCCTCCTCCTTGTTTCTCGTCCCCTCTCTCGTCTCCTTCTCTCTCCTCCTCCTCGTTTCTCGTCTCCTCCTCTCCTCCTCCTCTCTCGTCTCCTTCTCTCTTCCTCCTCCTCGTTTCTCGTCTCCTTCTCTCTCCTCGTTTCTCGTCTCCTTCTCTCTTCTCGTCTCCTTCCCTCCTCTCCTCATTTCTTGTCTCCTTCTATCCTCCTCCTTGTTTCTCGTCTCCTCCTCCTCGTTTCTCCTCTCTCCTCCTCCTCGTTTCTCGTCTCCTCCTCTCCTCCTCCTCATTTCTCGTCTCCTTCTCTCTTCTCGTCTCCTTCCCTCCTCTCCTCATTTCTTGTCTCCTTCTATCCTCCTCCTTGTTTCTCGTCTCCTCCTCCTCGTTTCTCCTCTCCTCCTCCTCCTCCTCCTCGTTTCTCATCTCCTTCTCTCCTCCTCGTTCCTCGTCTCCTCCTCCTCTCGTCTCCTCTCCTCCTCCTCCTCGTTTCTCGTCTCCTTCTCTCCTCGTCTCCTCCTCTCTCCATCTGTCTCCTTCCCTCCTCTCCTCTTTCTCTCCTCTTGTCCAGAAGGGGAGGGCATCTGACACACACACACACCGGAACATTCCAGAACACGTTTGTACAGATCTAAAAATTTTAAAAAGTAGGTTTTGTTTGTGGAGGAAACGACGACGACACTTGAGAAATCAGAGCCTTTGTGATTTGATCATTTCCTCCATTCAAAGTGTCATTTTCATTTCATTTACATTTAATTTTGATTAGTTTCTCGTCTCAGTTGTCGTTTCCGTATCGATTCTTTTCTCCGTCTGTAAGCGTCAGCGTCGTCTCGTCTCGTGTTCGGGGAGCAGGTTTTATAA